GCGCCTCTTCCGCCGAGCCCTGAAAACTCATCTGTTCCATGCGGCCGGCCTGGCGTAGTTTTGATTGGGTTTTGTTAGGGGTTTTATATTTTAGAGCAGGCTTTTATGTAATATTTACTGTGATTTTTATTATTGCCTGTTCACCGCCCTGAGTCCCGTAAGGGAGATAGGGTGGTATATAAATTTAAATAATAAATAATAAATAAATAAATAAATGATCATCAAACAAATCAACCGAGTTCTCACTAGAGGCATAAATGACCAGGCTCAAATTATTCTACTTTGGACACATTATGCAAAGTCATAGCTCCCTAGAGAAGGCTCTCATGCTGGGAAATGTTAAAGGAAAGAGAAGAATAAGACTACCAGCATCAAGTTGGATGGACTAAGCCAGGGGTGTCAAACTCGCAACATCACATGATGTGTTGTGACATATTGCGACTTTTCCCCCATTGCCGGAGCTGGGATGAGCACAGTTTCGGCATGACGCATCTGGCCCACAGACCGGCAGTTTGACACCCCTGGACTAAGCCAAAGCAGCCATGGGTGCAACCTTTGGAAGATCTGAAAGACCAGATGAAGAACAGATAGTCATGGAAAAATTAACCAATTGTGTGGTTGTTATAAGAAGTGCAAAAAAGGAATAAGAAATAGAAGCCAAATAAATTAATGTTATCAGAAAAGAAAATATAGCTAAATCTAGTTGACATTAACACCACTCACTGTACTTCTCCACTAGAGTCATGAAGTTATTTGGATCTGAAGGGAAAAATACTTTGAAGCCAGCACTGGCACTCTCTTTGGGTCTTAAAAGAATCATGCCTTTCCCTGGGTTCACATGACAGTTGCAGGGGCTCAAAAAAATTACACATTTTGTAAAGTGTTATATAGTTCTGCCTTGTTGAGCTCTCTTTTTAATGCTCTTTTAGCCTCTCCTGTAAATGAAGCATGTATTTGGAGTTAGCTTGCTTTGCAATTCCCAAAATTCTCAGCAATTGGGATTCTAGCTAGGGAATTCTGGGCTTTTGTTTTATTTGTAACATTTGTATGGCTATCCATCTTAAAAAAAACTCATCTACCTCCTGCCCCCCACAACTATAAAACCAAGCCATAAAATATAAAACACAACCCTGTGCCTCAGTCATCCCTTTGGGATGCTATAACAACCACATTACCTCAACACTTGAGCTAAAACCCAGGTTTTAATAGCCTCTCAGAAGACTAAAAGAGTAAAGGCTTACTGTATCACTAGGAGAGGAGTGTTCCATAAGGTGAATGGCATCCATGGAAAAGGCACACTTCCGATGTGCCAATAGACGGCAAGATTTCAGAGAAGGGACCTGGAGCGTGATTGAACTGGTGGGGCAGGCAGATACTCTCCGGGTGAGATGGTCCTGCAAATAACCTAGTCCCATCCTATATAAAGTTTTAAAGGTAATAGCCAACACTTTGAAGGAGGAAGGAATCTGTGAACCACTACAATTTGTGCAAAAGAAATATAACATGGAAAAACCCAGGAGCATCCAACACTGTCCGCACTGCTGCATTCTAGACCAATTGTAGCTTTCAAATGGTCTTCAAGGGCAGCTTTGTGTAAAGCACTTTATAATAATCTGAACAGGTGACTGAGGCATGAGTGACTATAAGCTATCTTAAATGTCACATATCTTGAGTTGCCAAGGTGAGGAAATACAGCGCAACTGAGAAGATAATAATAGTATAATTGCCACCATTCCTCATAACTGGTTATGCTAACTGAAGCCATTGAAGCATTAAAGACAAAGATTTGTGGTAATTGGAAGATGACCCATATAGCTAGGCTGATATATTGAGCTAAGCCACAATGTTTGTCTGGTTTTGGTTCAACATGTTGTGTGGGTGTTGCCATTCTGATCTCCAAACCATGATTTAGGCTTAAGAGGCTGTTTCACAACACACACTTGCCCACAGTTAACTTGCTCTGGCTTGCTCAGTCCAATTTCCTGGATTCCCAAAAGCCATAAACCAAGAATTCAGCATAGATCATTAGAATAAAAAGGAGTTATTTTCAAGCTAAGTAGGTGGCGCCAAATGCTCTCTGGTGATGGATCCAATATTCAGGGATGCATGCTCAGCACAACGTGGAAGTTCAGTCTACACAGATGTGCACTCATCTGGACAGCATCATTTAATGACTTGTGCTGACATTTGTCCAAAAGAACCAGTAGGGTTTCCCTCCCCTTTTAGATTTTGTTTGGCTGAGGAATGAAGCCCTCCCCCGCCCCTCCGGCCCCTGGGGCGAATTTGTTTCTGCCTCCGCTCTCGCCCGGCCTGCCCTCCCGCTCCAAGCGCTGCTGCCGGCACGCAGGTGGGGCCGCGGAATCCAGCCACTCAAAGCCGCCCCCCAGGCGCCCACTCTGGTAGCCTGGCCCATCCTTTGCAGAGGCAGCCGGCCCAGCAGGAACGAGCTCGAAGGGGAAGCCACTCGAGGACGTATCCCGGGGCTCTTGCGCGCCCAGCGCTCTCTTCTTTCCCGTCTGCAGGGATCCGCTGCGCTTCCAGTCGCCGCGCGCTCGCTCACCTGCCCGCAGGCGGAAGTCGAGCCCTACCTGCGAGCGTCTCTCGACACCTGGCGAGCACCAGAAGGAGCAGCAAGAAGGTTCTTGAACACCAGCCGGGGGCCATGCCGACTTCTCCGGGGGTCGGAGGGCGAGCCACCGGCGGCCCAGGGTAACAAGAGGCCGCTTTCGGGGCCTGGACGGCGGGGCTCCGCCCGCCAACAACTGGTGCTCTGGCTGGCGCGCTTGCAATTCGGGTCAGGTTACACCGAGGGGCGAGAAAGGGGGAGA